GCCCTTCTCTGCTGTATGTTATCATACACGGCTAGGAGCTGAGGACGTGGATGGCGGTTTCGTTACAAAGCTAGTGCCGCTTCCACCCGCAGAACCCTCGAAGGTCTTTGATGAGAACGGCAAGCAAGATAATGCCAAGGCCTCCTCAGCGACGGTTGCCTGTAGCGGTGTGGAAACGCTCTTCTTCATGTATGAAGATGATGAGTACGCCGGACTTCCGACACTCCCCTCATAAGTGAGTCTGGTTTGTCTTCATTATACTACCATGAGTCCGTCTCTGAGTCACTATGGATGAGAGAAGGGGAAAGTAAAATTGTTTTTTCTCAGTGTAGTTCAATTATTGCATCGGTCCCCACTGGTCCCCCGAGGTAATGCTGACATCTTTGTTCCTGACTGAATGGCTAGCATCCTTGTCGTTGTATCGTGACACGACGACTTCGTTCATCAGAATTTTACTTGTATCAGCTGTGAGCTTTGTTATAGACTTGAGAGAACTAAGACCTGACACGCGTGCCCCACATCCAGTACGCCTTCAGATAGCATTTCCGGCAATGACAAAGGAGCCTAGAATGGCTATTTCTGGTTCATTAGCCAGTCATGCACAACCCCAAGGTTTTGCTTGAAATGCTACTTGCCGCTGTGCAACGGCAGGCGGGACTCGAGAATGAGCCCAAAGGCAGAGTGGGAGGAGTGAGTTTCGTTAGTGATCGGGGAAAGTACATCGGCGAGTGCCAATCACGCTTTCTTTCTGTTTTACAAGTTTTGTAATTATAGGATTTTTAAGACCACGTTCGCGCGAAAACGTAAGGAAGGTCAAAAAAGGCTGTTGAACTTTTTTAAGTAGGCGGTTATAATAAATAAGCACATATCCGGGACCCCACGACGAACGCTTAACAGTGCTATCGCCCTCCCAATTCTCGCTGCGTCCACGTCGTGTGTTTCGCAGGCGGACGTTTCCCACTTGCTGACCTGAAGACCCTCGACTGACATAATCACGCACATACATGCGCGCACACGCGTGTGCGCCCAGTTAATAACGGCTGCCTGAAGGCCACTTGAATATGCCACCCCTCAGCCAACACAGCAGGGGCCTCTATACGCAACACCCGTTTGGGAAATACAGCACACCAATAGCAGTATCTACAACAAAATGCTGCAACTTAGGCCATTGATCTCAAATTTATAGCTTTAGCTGGGTTCAGAATAACCGTTTGAGGCTTCTGATTATCAAACTTTTCATTAA